TGTGCCAGCAAACGGCTGCCCCCTTGTCACAGAGGGCACAGTCCAGCAGCACCCATCCAAAAGAGGCCTAGTATTTCAGGTGTGATGCTCGTGTGTGAATGCAGAGTCCAGAACTAGTTCCTTCATTTGGTTAAGTTTATTAAGAATTGGTCTGGATGGGAGCGCCTGGGTGGCTCGGTGGGTAAGCCTCCATCTGCCTTCCGCTCAGGTCATGATCCCAGCGTCCTGGGATCAAGCCCCACATCAGGTTCCCTGCTCAGCGAGGAGCCTGCTTCTCCCTCTCCAGCTCCCCCTGCTTGTGTTCCCTCTCTCGCTGTCTCTGTCAGATAAATAAATAAAATCTCAAAAAAAAAAAAAAAAAAAAAAAAGAATTGGTCCGGATGGGGCGCCTGGGTGGCTCAGTAAGTTAAGCGTCTGCCTTTGGCTCAGGTTATAATGCTGGAGTCCTGGGATGGAGCCCCACATCAGGCTCTCTGCTTAGCAGGGAGTCTGCTTCTCCCTCTGCCCTTCCCGCTGCTCATGCTCTTTCTCAAATAAATAAATAAAATCTTAAAAAAGAAAAAAAAAAAGGAGTTCGTCTGGTGCTTGGCCCTTTGCCACTTACATGGGACAGGCAACAGTGAATAAAACTAGATGTGCCATGTGGCACTTAAGGTTAAATGGAAGGGGGAGAGAAAATGGTCAATTCCGTTCTAACGGAAATAAACAGTGATGTGAGAGCACGTGCCACATGTGGGGGGGTGGTTTATTGTGTGTGGTACCAGAGGGGGGACCCTGACAGGGTGACGTTTAGATTTAACCTGACGGACATCAAGCAGCAGCTATGCAGTGATCCAGGCAGAGAGAAGCGGGGATGTAGCTGGAGGAGCGGAGTAAGGCAGGTGAGCTTGGAGGGGCTGCAGAGGCCAGACCTCTGTGGGACAAGGTAGGACTGACCCAGTCCAATTTGCCTGGGATCGAGAGGTTCCCAGGACACAGGACTTCCAGTGCTAAAACTGAGAAAGTCCTGGGCAAACCAGGATGGCTGGCTACTCTAGGTAGGACTTGGGGGTTTTCTTCCATGTTTTCCTCCCTCTCTGCATTCCTTTCTTGTTTTTTCTTTCTTTCATAGCTTTATTGAGATATAATTCACATACCACACAGTTCACTTGCTGAGAATGTACAATTCAATGCATTTTAGCATGTTCAGAGTTGTGCACCCATCCCCGATTTTAGAACATTCCATTACTCCATGGTGTTTGAGTTTTCTCCTCAGGGCAATGGGGGCCAAGGGAGAGTTCTGAGCAGGGGAGGGAGGGGATCCCTGCAGCTCCTGGAGGGGAAGGATGGATTGCAGGGGCACAGGGAGGAGTTGGAAGGCCGTGAGACCCCTCTAGCTTCTCAATCTGTCCCCTGGGGGTGAAGGTCCGGAGGGCCTACCACCCCCAACTATACTCTGTGAGGGTGACCAGGGTCTTCTGCTGTTAATGGCTGAATGGTATCCTGCCCACCCTCCCCCAAGTCAGGTTGAAGGCCTAAGCTCTGGTACCTGAGATTGTGACCTTATTTGGAAATAGAGTCGTTGCAGATGCAGTTAGTTAAGAGGTCAGCCTGCAGTAGCATGAGGCTCTAACGCAACGACTGGGTTCCATGTCTTGTGACGGTCATGTGAAGACAGGGACACAGAGGAATGTTGCATGATGACAGAGGCAGAGGTTGAAATACTGCAGCGACCAGACAAGGGGCACTGAGGGCTGCCTACAACCACGAGGAGCCAGGGAGAGGGAAGGAAGGACCCTCCCCTGCGGGTCTCAGGAGCATGGCACTGCCAACGTCCCAACTTCTGGCTCCGGCCTCCAGAACTGTGCGACAATCATCTGTTGCTCTAAGCCACCCAGCTTGTGACTTTGTTAAGGCAGCTCCAGGAAACTAGTGCATCCGTGGAAGAGCAGGGCGTCCGGTTGGCATCGAGGACTCGGGGTTGTGGACAGGGTGTGGGTGGGGGCCCTGGATGGGGAACAGTTGCCTGGGGGAAGAGGACTGAGCTTTCAGCTTTGTGCTCAGGCAGGTGTGGTCCCATTTACTCTGAGAAGAGGTTTTAACTGGTTTCTAGAAAGACATCTTGGGTAGGGGATGGGGTTCCAGCAGGACCCTCCCAGTGGCACCCAGAGCACTAGAAGAAGGCCATAGCTGCTTGGGGCTCCTTGCCTCCCATCCCCAGGCACTGAGATCTCAGGAGAAAGCTCAACCTGGCATCGGTGGCAGGACAGGAAATCCCAGACCCTCTTGGGGCACCTGGGTGGCTCAGTCGGTTAAGCGTCTGCCCTCTACTCAGGTCATGATCCCAGGGTCCTGGGATGGAGCTCCACGTCGGGCTCCCTGCTCAGTGGAGAATCTGCTTCTCCATCTCCCTCTGCCCCACTTCCCCCCCCCCACACACACTCCTGCTCTCTCTCACTCTCTCTCAAATACATAAAACCTTAAAAAATAAAAAAGGAAATCCCAGACCTTCTTGTCTTAGGGCCTGTGGTGGGCAACCAGACCCAGGGACAGTGGGGGGGGGGGGGGGGGCAGGAGACAGAGATGGAGCTAGTCGGCCTGGTGGTGCCTCAGTGGTCCTCAGGTCCAGCTTCTTCCCCTACCACCTGCGGATGGCAACTGCCCTTCCAGCAGGGTGAGACCATCCGCACTGCTTCCCACTGGTGGGCTACAGATCTCACCTGAGCTGCCCTGGTGGCCTGACCTCTCCCAGTGGGGCCACCCAGCCCCCTCGCCCCACTGTAGGGACACTGGTCTGGCCTGCTGCTGAGCCCCACCTGAGAGTTCTTGGGGCCCAGTGAGTCCTGCTGGGCAAGGTCTAAACCCAGGTCACCTGGTCTCCTACCCCCACAGCAGCACTGCATCCTGCTGCAAAAACAATTATCTGGATCATCTTTATGGGGCTTAAGCTTGGGTGGGAGCAGATGGGGTATGAGCTGGGGATTTGGGGCTGGGTATCCACTCCCCCCCAATTCCCAGCCTTTTAAAAAGCCTTCTCTGGCACGGGGCCGGGACAGAGGCCAGCAGAGAAGTGGACAGGACCCAGGGGAGGGGAGCGGGGACAATGATGGACCAGGAAGAGAAGGTGGACGGGAGCTCGGCCCCCTGCATCCAGGTAAGCAGATCCCACCCCACACATCCTCCCAACTCAAGGGCCTGTGAATGACAAAACTAATTAGTTTGTAGGGCACCTAATTAGCAAGCAAGTCTCCTGGGACCCCCGACCCAGTTGCCGCCCAAAGAAGTGCTGGTGGGCATGAGGGTCCAAGTGCCTAACCCAGCCCCAGGGCAGAGGTCAGGGCTCTCGGTGCTAACCCCTGTGAGGTGGGGGATACCGGGATTTGGGAGCAGCCCTGGTATGTTTCCCGGGCTCATGTCCCAGCCCCCAGGCCACCCTGCAGTCAAGCCCCAATTTAGGATGTCAGGATGCTGGCAACGGCAGCTTCTCCCCTGAGGCAGCACCACGTGGGGTGGCCCTGCTGGCCGGGCCCCTGGGGCAGGGGCCGGGATGGGGAAGGAGGCTCAGGTCTCATTCTGAGCAGCTCTGCAAAGCAGCGCATTGGTGGGGACCATGGTGAGAGCCGAGGAGGGGAGGGGAGGGGTTCCCCAGCTGAGAGGCCAGCTGGGCTGAGTGTGTCTGTTCCCCAGGCTGGCTCTCCAGACCAGGAGGGCTTCTTCAACCTGCTGAGCCAGGTGCAGGGCGACCGGATGGAGGAGCAGCGGTGCTCGCTGCAGACAGGGCCGGATCCGACCTCCGAGAGCCGTGAGAGCGGGCACGGGTGGTGGTGGTGGGGGACTGGTGTGATGTTTGGGGGCATGAATGGGGCAGGGCGTAGGGATCCAGGGAGAGAGGCCACCTGGGGGGCCTGTGGGCAAGAACCTGAGAAAGTAAGCCACAAATGGGAACACTGGGTAAGGGATGGGGGGTACAGACGAGCACGCTTCCGAGAGAACATGAGTGGAGGCGGAGGAGTGGGTTGGGGGCTCCAGGTGGGCTGTGTCCCCTGGAGTCAGCATGTATGTTCATCCCCACATGCTTCTGCTTAACGCAGAGAGTGGCACTGCACCCGAGATGGACAGTCTCATGGACATGCTGGCCAGTACCCAGGCCCGCCGTATGGATGACCAGCGTGTGACAGTCAGCACCCTGCCTGGCTTCCAGCCCATAGGCCCCAAGGTAGGTGACGTGCCGCTGGGGCTGAGCAGAGACCAGCTAGGCTGAGTGCTCTGACCCTGCCTCCCACCCCCAGCCAGGAGTAAATGGGGCCTCACCCTCACATCTAGCCATGATTTGCCCCCTAGGGATAAGTGCCTAATAAAAGTGCCATCCTGGGTCCCTGCCAGTCACAGGAACCTGGCCAATCCAACCCCCAACTTCGGGTGGGAGGACAAAGGCCCAGGCAGGGCCGAGAGGGGCCCAAGGTCAGGCTGGGGGCATGTTAATGTCAGAGCCGTGGCCGGAACTCAGGGCCCTGCCGCCCTGTCTCAGGGTTTCAGGGAAGACAGAATGAGCAGACCCCCCCTTCCTAGGAAGACACCTCCGAGAAAGAGGGCACATGAGTTTATACACAGGACACAGACCTCCATACACTAGTGTCTGTGACACACATATGCATGCACAGCCTGGGTTCTGATCAAGACCCCAAATACCACCTTAAAGGTTGAGTAACTAAGGTACATAGAAACCGGTGGATGGTAGGGACAGACGGCAGGACGGGGCACACAGGCACCCTCCCCCAATGTGTGGGTCACCTCCGGCTGGCACTGTCCTTGGTCCCTCCCTCTGGCTGACCCCTCTTCATCCACAGGACGGAGTGCAGAAACGAGCCGGGACGCTCAGCCCCCAGCCCCTCCTCACCCCTCAAGACCCGAGTGCCCTCAGCTTCCGTCGGAACAGCAGCCCCCAACCCCAGACACAAGCCCCCTGAGGGCCTGAGCCATCCTGGGCCCTGCATGGCCCCTGAAAACAGACAATAAAACACTTCCACAAGAAACAAGGAACTGTGTGTTATTTCACTGGTGGAGGGGCTAGGCTTCAGGAGCTCTGCTGGGCAGCACGAAGGAGCTTTTCCTCCCGCTGCTTCCGTAGCCTCTCTTTGAATTCTTCTAGCTCCCGGTGCTGGGGGTTGGAGAAGGGGGGTGGAACGGGAAGGGAGGAGGACACACACCTCAGGGGCCTAGACTCCCTTCCCCCCCACCCTGCCCCTTACTCCCCCAGGCCACAGCTTCACAGGGTTCAGCATCTACACTGGAAGCCCTGTGCCAATTACAGCGACGGTTCAAGGGGGATCGCTTCATCTTTCAGGAAGAGGGCAAGAAAGAAACTATATGCTCCTCCGTTCTCAGTTCTCTTTCCTCATGACTGAGAGCAAAATTTTCATTCAAACCCATCATGGCCACAGGGACCCAGGCACCTCCGTCCCTTTAGGGGGAAGAAGAGTATGTGACTTACCTGGTCCTCCTTCTCAGGTGGCCACAGCTCCCTCTGTGGGGACAAAGTAACAGCTGGTAGCATGAGCCAGGAGCCTCCAGAGCCCCCCACCCAGGGCAGGGTTGGCTGGTGGGAAGCAGACATTGGTCCCCAGCAGGTTGGTGCTCCATTCTCTCCCCCACGCCCTGGAATGAACCCATGAATACTCTCCCTGTGCCCACCTTGCGCTGTATGACATAGTCCTCAAACCACTCGGCCTGATTGGCAATCCAAAACATAGCCACAGGGAAGGTGAGGTAGAGCGTCATCTAGAAGGGCAGGGGGTAAATGAACGGAGCCCCAGATTAAACCCCTTCCACAACACGCATGGTTGCTCAGAGCCTGGAGGACCATTCTCCCGCAGAGCTTAGGCGTGCCTCCTCAGGGTCCGCAAGAACCGCAGAACTCCCACCCAGGATACAGAAGCCTGACACCTTAAAGCCTAGACCCCTAAGAGTAATAATTTAAGAGACCTCAAAGCCTCCTCCAAGTCTGGGGAAACTCCCTCTCGAAGACACACACACATACGCGCGCACGCGCGCAAAGACCCCTGACTCCGAGTACAAGACCTCGTCCTAAAATCAGAGGCGGGCGCCTGGGTGGCTCAGTTGGTTAAGCGACTGCCTTCGGCTCAGGTCATGATCCTGGAGTCCCAGGATCGAGTCCCGCATCGGGCTCCCTGCTCGGCAGGGAGTCTGCTTCTCCCTCTGACCCTTCCCCCTCTCATGCTCTCTATCTCATTCTCTCTCAAATAAATAAATAAAATCTTAAAAAAATAAAATAAAATCAGAGGCATCTTCGTGAGACCTCATTACCCACCCGTTCGTCAGATCCCTGGAGCATCTTCAAACCCAGGAGGCCTCATTATTTGGAATCTATTGCTCTAATCACAGGGGTCTCCCTATTAGAAACACACAACCACCCGGAGACCGTGAGCTTCCTCAGGGTTTGGAGCCTTCCTTGTCGGAGCCCCTTTTTCAGATCACTCCTCTCAGACGCCCTTCCGCACACCAGCCCTCCCCTACCCCAGCGCCCCCTCCGCCGGGCTTCCAAACCTAAAGATCCCTCTCAAAACTCAGAAGCTTTCTCCCCACACCTCCCTCTCTCCTGGAATCCCCTCCCTTTCAGAGCCGCCTCCTCAGTGCCGGAGGAGTCCAACCGTCCACCCGCTGCAAAGCTCACTGACCCGAAACACCTCCAGCTTCACCCCCATCTCGCTTCTCCTTGGCTACAAAGCCGCTTCCGCCCAGAGTCAACCCTTCAGCAAAACAGCAGCTCATTGGGCGTTCGCAGGCTCCACCACTGAAGCTGATTGGTAGAGGAGGTTCAAGATGACGTCATCTTCGGGAGCCTCTTCTCTACTTCCGGTCGCTGGCGCCTTCTAAGCGAAAGTCAACAAACGCTGTCCGCGGGGTTGGAAAGGGTTCAACCAATAGGAAATAGGCCTGGCCCCGGGGGGCGGGCCTTCAGCGGGAGGCGTCATTATAACACGACTCCTTCCCGTACCTGGAGAGCCAGGAAGATGGTGGTGATGGCGCGTGTTTCCCGGCCGCAGCGGCCGGACCTCGTTTTCGTGAGTTCGCGGCGGGGTCGGGGGGCGGCCCGTGTGGGAGCACAGGGCTTGGATGCTTCAGGGGTTTCAGGCCTGGCCGCCTGGGGTCAAAAACTCTGTCCATCCGAGGGCAGGGCGTGTGGGCCCGGCTGGCCAGGAGCAAAGTTCTGGTGCCTGAGTCCAGGTGGTCTGAGTGAAGAGTTGCTGTCGAGGTTAAGGGCCAGGCGACCCGGGCCTCCGGTGGAAATGGGAGCGCGCGGGGAGAGGGGTGGATCGCATAGCTAAATCTTGTAGAGATCTGGCGTCTGAAGTAGAGGCTAGTGACCCAAAGCCAGGGCTCTGGTTTCTGTGGTAAAGTCTTGGTGTTCTGAGTAACGGCCTAGGTCTGGCCCGGAGCCTTGTAGTTTCTGAAATGAAGGATTGGTGTCTGGATTAGGAGAACTCTGGAGTCAGATGTGGAGCTGGTCAGGCTATGGCCAGTGGGATCCTGAAGAGTCCAAGACTTGGTATCTTGGTATCTGGAGCGCAGGCATGTCTTTTGATTGTGCTTCGCCGATATTGCAGGAGTTTTTTTCTTGTTTTCTTTTTTTCTTTCTCTCTCTCTCTCTCTCTCTCTTTTTTTTTTTTTTTTAACAAATTGAAGGCTTGTAGCAACACTGCATCAAGCAAGTGTGTTGGTACCATATTCCAACAGCATTTGCTCACTTCATGCCTCTGTGTCACCGTTTGGTAATTCTCACAGTATTTCAAACTTTTCCATTACTTTTGGGGCACCAGGAGCCACACCCAAATAAAAGGGGAAGTTAATAAATGTATGTGTTTCGACTGCGTCATGGGCTATTGCCCACCTCTGTCCTTGGGCCTCCCTACTCCCTGAGACATAACAATATTGAAATTAGACCAATTAATAACTTCTAAGTGTTCAAGTGAGGGGAATAGTCACATATCTCTTGCTTTAAATCAAAAGCTAGAAATAATTAAGCTTAATGAGGAAGGCATGTTGGAAGCTGAGATAGGCTGAAAGCTAGGCCTTTTGCACCAAACAGCCAAGTGGTGAATGCAGAAGAAAAGTACTTGAAGAAAATTAGAAGTGCTACTCCAGTGAACACATGATAAAAAAAAGTGAAACAGCCTTATTGCTGTTCTAGAGAAAATTTTAGTGGTCTGGGTAGAAGATCAAACCAGACACAACATCCCCTTAAGCCAAAGTCTAATTCAGAGCAAGGCCTAACTCTGGTTCTCCAAAGGCTAAGGGAGGTGAGGAAGCTCCAGGAGATGAGTTTGAAGCTAACAGAGGTTGGTTCGTGAGGTTTAAGGAAAGAAGCCATCTCCATAACAAAAGTGCAAAGTGAAGCAGCGAGTGCCAATGTAGGATCTGTAGCAAGTTAATCAGAAGATCTAGGGGCGCCTGGGGTGTCTCAGTCGGTTAAGTGTCTGCCTTCAGCTCAAGTCATGATCCCAAGGTCCAAGGATCAAGCCCTGTGTTGAGCTCCCTACTCAGCAGGGAGTCTGCTTCTCCCTCTCCCTACCCCCTCTTGTGTGCTCTCCCTTTCACTCTCTCAAATAAATAAATACAATCTTAAAAAAAAGAAAATCTAGTTAAGGGGCACCTGGGTGGCTCAGTTGGTTAAGCGTCTGCCTTCGGCTCAGGTCATGATCCCGGGGTCCTGGGATCAAGCCCCGTGTCCGGCTCCCTGCTCAGTGGAGAGCCTGCTTCTCCCTCTCTCTCTGCTGCTCCCCCTGCTTGTGTGTGTTCTCTCCCTCTCCAATAAATAAATAAAATCTTAAAAAAAAAAAAAAACTAAGATAATTAATGAAAGTGAGTATACAAAACAGACTTTTAAAATTTATATTATTATTATTATTATTTCTCACAACCCTGAGATCAAGACCTGAGCTGAGATCAAGAGTTGGACGCTTAACCAACCGAGCCACGCAGGTGCCCCAAACAGACTTCTAAATAAATGGAAAAGCCTTTTCCTGGAAGAAGATGCCATCTAGGGCTTTCATAGCTAGAGAAGAGCAGTCAGTGCCTGGCTTCAGTGCTTCAAAGGACAGGCTGACTCTATTGCTCATAAAGTCATCAAGCTAATGCTGCTGATGACTTTAAGTTGAAGCTGGTGCTCGTTTACCATTCTAAAAATCCTAGGGCCCTTAAGAATTAAGCTAAAACTACTCTGTGCTGTATAAGTGGAACAACAAAGCTTGGATGATGGCATATCTGTTTACAACACTGTTTACTAAATATTTTGAATCCAGTGTTGAGACCTACTGCTCAGAAAAAAAAGATTGCTTCCAAATAATGACTGCTCATTAACAATATACCTGGTTACCCAAGAGCTCTGACAGAGATCTACAATGAAATTAATGTTGTTTTCATGGCTGTTGATACAACATCCATTCTGTAGCCCACGGGCCAAAGAGTGATTTCAATTTTCAGGTCTTATTATTTAAGAAATACATTTCATAAGGTTATAGCTGCCATAGATAGCAATTACATTGATCTGGGAAAAGCAAATGGAAAACCTTCTGGAAAGGATTCACCATTAAGAACATTCAGATTCGGGCGCCTGGATGGCTCTGTTGGTTGAGCGACTGCCTTCGGTTCCGGTCATGATCCCGGAGTCCTGGGATCGAGTCCTACATTGGGCTCCGGGCTCAGCGGGGAGCCTGCTTCTCCCTCTGACCCTCTCCCCTCTCATGCTGTTTTTCTCTCGCTTGCTCTCTAATAAATACATAAATAAAATCTTAAAAAAAAAACAAAAAACATTCTGATTCATGAGGAGGGGTCAAAGTATCAACCTTAACAGGGTTTTGGAAGAAGTTGATCCCAACCCTCATGAATGACTTTGAGGGGTTCCAGCCTTCAGGGGAAGAAGTAACAGCAGGTGTGGCAGAAACAGCAAGAGAACCAGAATTAGAAGTGGAGTCTGAAGATGGGACTGCATTGCTGCAATCTTATAAAATTTGAGTGGAGGAGTTGCTTTTTAAGGATGAGCAAAGAAAGGGGTTTCTTGAGATGGAATCTACGATGCTGTGAAGATTGTTGAAATGACAACAGAGCTTTTATTTTATTTTATTTTTTTAAAGATTTTATTTATTTGAGAGAGAGAATGAGAGAGAGAGAGAGCACATGAGAGGGGAGAGGGTCAGAGGGAGAAGCAGACTCCCCGCTGAGCAGGGAACCCGATGCGGGACTCGATCCTGGAACTCCAGGATCATGACCTGAGCCGAAGGCAGTCGCTTAACCAACTGAGCCACCCAGGCGCCCCCAGAGCTTTTAGAATATTACATAAACTCAGTTGACAAAGCAGCAGAGGGTTTGAGAGAATTGATTCCAGTCTGGAAGGAAGTCCTACTCTGGGTAAAATGCTATCAAACCAAATCACATACTACAGAGAAGTCGTTCATGGAGGGAAGATTGAATTGATGTGGCAAACTATTTTGTCTTTTTTCAAGAAATTGCCACAGTCACCCCAGCCTTCAGCAGCCACCACCCCAGTCAGTCAGCAGCTGTCACCATGGAGGCAAGACCATCCACCAGCAAAAAGATTACAACTCACTGAAAGCTCAGATGGGGATTAACATTTTTTAGCAAGAAAGTATTTTTTAATAAAGATATGTAGATTTTTTTAGCCATAATGCCATTGCACATTTAATAGACTACAGTATAGCGTAAATATAACTTATATGCATTAGGAAACCAAAAAATTCACTTGACCTACTGTATTGTGATACTCACTGGACTGTGGTCTGGAACCAAACCCGCAATATCCCTGAGGTATGCTTATTGAGGCCTGGCCTCTTCACCGGGTTTTTAGTGGTGAGATTTAGTGGTGGTCCACACTTCTCCTGAGGGAAAGGTCTAGCTTCTGTCGACCCTGAAAATAAAACTGCTAGTTATTTTACCAGCAAAATGGGTTTATTTAAGAGTGGCAGAGGATGGGGCGCCTGGGTGGCTCAGTCGTTAAGCGTCTGCCTTCAGCTCAGGTCATGATCACAGGGTCCTGGGATCGAGCCCCGCATCGGGCTCCCTGCTCAGCCAGGAGCCTGCTTCTCCCTCTCCCGCTCCCCCTGCTTGTGTTCCCTCTCTCGCTGTCTCTCTCTGTGTCAAATAAATAAATAAGAATTAAAAAAAAAAAGAGTGGCAGAGGAATTTTAAATAGGAACATGCAAGCTCTGGTAAAACCAAAGGCAAGTCTGGAGAACAAAGGAGAGGAATGTCACTTTGTAGAGAAAAAGGAGTCAGCTGGGACGGGTTGCTTTGAAGGAAAGTCTATTAGAAGAAAGTGCCGGTTCAGGGTGGTGATGGCTTCTCACTGACTGAGTTATGGCAGTCTCTCATTGGCTGGGCTGTTGCCAGGCAAGGAGAAAATCTTCCTGTGGGGGTTCTGCAATTGACAGATGGTAGGGCATGAGGGTTCTCCCTTCAGGGCTTCCCCATTCCATTTCAAAAGAGGTTTCCTTATTCATTTTCCAAGTTCTGGGGCAGAGTTGAGCTACACTCTGGCTCGTGGGAGCCTGAGATGCCAAAGGCCTGGTGTTCAGGAAGAGGCACGTTGTGCGGAGTTATAGCTTGGTGTCCAGGTCTGAGCAAGGCCTGGCATTGGACCAGGGAGTCTAAGGGATCTGGTGATCTGGGCCAGAGAGTGGATGGCTCGATCTGGAAGTCCAAAAGAGTGGTGTCTGGGTGACAATCTCGGGA